TCTCTGGCCGTCCTAGGGCATTCCTGGCCCGTCTGACGCCGTCGGGAGCCGTCGTGGGGGCCTTTCTGGGCCGACTTGGGGCCCTCTTGGGGTGCTCCATGGGCGTCTTGGAGGCCTCTTGGGCCGTCTGGGGGCCCTCTTGGGGCCGTCTTTGGGGCCTCTTGAGCAGTTCTGGTGCCATCCTGGAGGCCTCTTGGGCGATCTTTGGGTGCTCTTGGGCCGTCTCGGGCCCTCGGAAGGCCGAAAAGAAGCAAATGCCACAATCCTTCAAAAACCAGAGAAATCAATTTTTTTGACCTCTTCGGGCCTTCCTGGAGGCCCTCTTGGAGGCATCTTGGACCGTCTCAGAGGCCTCTTGAGGGCCTTTCGGGCCATCCTGAGCCATCTTAGAGCCATCTTGGGCAGTCTTGGTGGGCTCCTGGTCCGTCTGGCGCCGTCGGAAGCTGTCTTGGGAACCTCTCTGGGCCGACTGTGGGCCCTCTTGGGATGCTCCAGGGCCGTATTGGAAGCCGTCTTGGGCGTTTTGGAGGCCTCTTGGGCCGTCTTGGGGCCCTCTTGGGGCCGTCATGGGGGCTTCTTGGGCCGTTTTGGGGCCATCTTGGAGGCCTCTTCGGCGATCTTGGAGCGATCTTTGGGGGCTCTTGGGCCGTCTCGGGCCGTCGGAAGGCCGAACAGAAGCAACTGCCAGAATCCTTCAAACACATACGGAACATCAATGACTTTGGCCTCTTCAGGCCTTCCTGGAGGCCTCTTGGGCCGTTTTAGAGGCCTCTTGGGGGCCTCTTGTGCCCTTTTGGGCGGACCTGGAGGCATCTTGGACCCTCTTGGGCCGTCTTGGAGGCCATAACTGACCATCTCGGGCGCACTTAGAGGCCATCTTGGGCTTTCTTGTAACGGAAAAGGCATTGACACACACACACACACACACACGCACGCACACACACACACACACACACGCACGCACGCACGCACGCACGCACGCACGCACGCACGCACGCACGCACGCACGCACGCACACACACACACACACACGCACGCACGCACGCACGCACGCACGCACACACACACACACACATTCACAACACACACACAACACACAACACACAACACACAACATACAACACACAACACACAACACACACAAGACACACAGCACACACAACACACACAAGACACACAACACACAATATATATATATATATATATATATATATATATTATATATATATGCATGTATGTATGTATGTGTATGTATGTATGTATGTATGTATGTATGTATGTATGTATGTATGTATGTATGTATGTATGTATGTATGTATGTATGTATGTATGTATGTATGTATGTATGTATGTATGTATGTATGTATGTATGTATGTATGTATGTATGTATGTATGTATGTATGTATGTATGTATGTATGTATATATGTATACCTATATATATATATATATGTAGACATATATATATATATATATATGTATATCCCGGGGGGGGGCAGGTCTGGGCTCTGGAATCTGCGACCTCGACTCTCCATGGGGGGACCGGGGCTCACTTTCCCTGCGTTTTCACAGGGTTTCCGCGTCCTGGGGCTGTCCTGGCCCCCAGGGGGGCAGGTCTGGGGTTTGGAATCTGCGACCCAGACTCTCCATGGGGGGACCGGGGCTCACTTCCCCTGTGTTTTACATGGTTTCCGCGTCCTGGGGCTGTCCCGGCCCCCGGGGGGCGGGTCTGGGGTCCCCGTCCCCGTAGTAAAACGTACATATTCAGCATACTCCTTTGCTTCGTCTTCGCAGTGCCCCAGACGCCCCCGAGGAGCCCCAAGACAGCCCAAGAGAGACCCAAGAGGGCCCAAGACGGCCCAAAAGGGTCGTCCTGTGGGGCTCACAGAACCCCCCGAGACGGCCCAAGAGGCCCCAAAGCCAGCCCAGGAGGCCCCCAAGACGGCCTCAGGGAGGCCCAAGAGGGCTTCGTTCGAAATCATGTTCCCCGAAGCTTCTCCGGGAACATGATTCCTGGGTTCCCAGGACGCCCAAAGACAGCCCCCAGAGGCCCCGGACACGCCGAAGATGGCCTCAGGACGGCCGACGACGCCGCCAAAACGCCTCAGGAGCGCCTCCAGAGGCCCCTCCAAAGGGCCCCAGAAGCCGAAAATCATATATTTTCCCAGAAGCATTATTGCGCTCTCCCATGTTCCGCCTCCCCACGGTCCCAGACCGCGTCAGAGGCCCTTCAGATCGCTCCAAGACGGCCGAAGAGGCTTCCAAGAAAACCCAGGGACGGCCCAGGAGGCTCCCCAGATAAGTCACGAGGGCCTCGAGAGCGCCCCGAGAGAGCCCCAAGAGTGACCCAAGAGGGCCCGAAGAGCGCGACATTTCGAGGTCTCCGGCATGAGAGGCTTTTAGGACGCCCCCGGAGGCCATCAAGAAGCTCCCAAGAAGCTCCGTGAGGCTCCCAAGAGGCCCCCCGGAAGCCCCAATAGGCCCCTAAGGGACCCCCAGGGAAGCCCCCTGCGGGACCCCAAGACACTTCGGTGAATCGTATTTCCCAGATAGCTTTCCGGGAACATGATTCCTTGGGCTTCCGCCCACCTCACCAACCATGTTTCCAATAGGCTTGCCGACAAGGCCAGAAGGCGCCCCTCGGTAAGCCCCTAGAGGCCCCCCTCTTAGAGAGCCGAACAAATCATGCTCCCAGAAAGCTTCTCGGGAACATGATTCTCTATCTCGGAGTAGGCCTGGGGGGGGGGCGGGCCGCTGCCTGTTCCCCCCATCGGTGCCCACCAGGGGTTGCGGGGGGGGGTCCAGAGCTCCCGAGGCGGCCCGAGCCCGCCCCGAAGGAGGCCACGACAGGCTAAGGGGGTCCCGAGAGGACCCTAGACGGTCTCACGAGGCCCCGAAGACGCCCAACATGCCCTCAAGACAGACGACGAGGACTCCAACACGCTTCAGGACGGACTCAAGAGGCTCCCCAAAAGGGCCCTGGAAGGCAAGATTCACACGTTTTCCGAGTGTCTTGGATTTTGGCGTTCTCGCTTTTCCCGTTTTCCAGCGCTCCCTCACGGCCTCGGAGGACGTTCAGATCGCTCCAAGAAGGTCCACGAGGCCCCGACGAGGGCCCCAAGACGGCCCAGGATGCTCCCCAGACAACCCAAGTGTGCCCCAAGATCGCGCCAAGAGAAGGCCCAGAGGGGTCCCGAGGCTGCCCGGGCCCGCCCCGAAGCAGGCCATGACAGGCTAATGGAGGTCCCGAGAGGGCCCCAGACGGTCCCAAGAGGCCCCGAAGACGCCCAAGCTGCCCTCAAGACGGCCGACGAGGACTCGAACACGCTCCAGGACGGACTCAAGAGGCTCCCCAAGAGGGCCTTGGGAGGCAAGATTCAGAAATTTTCCGATCGTTTTTGAAGGATTTAGGCGTTCTCGCTTTCCCCGCTTCCCAGCGCTCCCTCACGGCCTCGCTCGGAGGCCCTTCAGATCGCTCCAAGACGGCCCAGGAGGCTCCCCAGACAACCCAACTGTGCCCCAAGAGAGGGCCCAGAGGGGACCGCCAACCGATATTTCGAGGTATCTGGCCCTCGAGGCCGCCTGTAGGCCCCCGGAGGCCACCAAGAGGCTCCCACGAAGCCCCGTGGGGGCCCAAGAGGCCCCCAGGAAGCCCCAAGAGAGCCCCAAGGGACTCCCAGGGAACGCCCAAGAGGCCCCCCCAACACATCCCAAGAAATCATGTCCCCAGAAAACCTTCCAGGGACATGGTTCATCATGGGCCCGAGAGTTCCCGGAGGCCCCCAAGGGGCACCCAGGGAACGCCCAAGAGACCCCCCAACACACCCCAACAAACCATGTCCCCAGAAAGCCTTCCGGGGACATGGTTCATCATGGGCCCGCGAGTCTCCGGAGGCTTCGAAGTACCATCATGCTACAGGAGAGCTGTCTGGGAAGTTGATTGGGAACATGACTGATCGCCTTCTCGCGGCCCTCCGCAGATCGTTTCGCACAAAGTTGCCCCAAGTGCCCTCTTGAATCGACGACGACGACGACGAAACGACGAAGACGACGACGACGACGACGACGGCGCGCCCCAATAGGCGACAACGACGACGACGACGACGACGACGACGACGACGACGATCGACGACGACGACGACGACGACGACGACGACGACGACGACGACGGCACGCCCCAACAGGCTCCCCAAGACGCCCCAAACCCATGCTCCCAGAAGGCCTTCTGGGAACCCGATTCACACGGCCTCCGCCCCCCTACACAACCATTTTCCTCAAAGGCCTTTCGGAATGCAGATTGGCATGCGTGGACTGTGGTCCACTACCTCAGTGGAGCAGCAGTGAATTCGTCAAGGCCTTGGGCCTGCTAGAACCTGAGCGCGCGCGAAGCGCGCGCGATGGTACTATTATATATATATATATATATATATATATATATATGTGTGTCGGCGGTGCCCGGTGCGGAGCGAAGCCCCCCCCGGTAAACTCCATCCGGGGGGGGTTCGAGCTGGCGGCACCGCCGGTGCGAGCCGGCACGAACCCCCCCGGTAAGCACGAAGCCCCCCCGATATGAACGAAACCCTCCAGAATGCACGATTGGCTCGACTGGACCCCATGGGTGTTCCAAGACGCCACGCCTCCACAGAGAACCCCCCACCCCACCCGCACCCCCGCCCCACCCCCACCCCCACTCCCACCCCCCCACTCCCACAGGAGGGGGGGTCCAGGTCGAAGCCCCCCCAGTGCGGGCTGCACGACCCCCCCCGGTAAAGGGACAGAGGGGGGGGGGTTCTGAGCCGTCGGCGGCACCCGATGCGGCCTGCACGAACCCCCCCGGTAGTACTGGGGGTGGTTTCGAGCCACGAGGCACCGCCGACAGGCATATATATATATATATATATATATATGTATGTATCCCCACATTTCAATGTTTAAGCAAGAAGAAGAGAGGAGGGACGCCGAACCGCAACGTTCGGCTCAAGCGAAAGCCCACGCCTTTCCATGAACCTCCTGGAACAGGGGGTCTTCGAGATAGTCCGAGGGCTGGGGATAGGCGCGGCCGTGGGCGCGGCGGGGCACGGGTGCCCAGACTGCGCCTGCCAGTGCCCGACCTGCAGCTGCGCTTTCACCTGCCCTGCATGCCCCACCGTGCACTGCGGGCCGCACTACTCGTACGGGTGGATCGTGCTGCCCCTGTGCGTGGCTGCGGGCTTCGCGTTCGCCCAGCTGCCCGGCGCCTGGCGCCTAGGCCGCTCGGCGAGCACTCCGAGTGACCGTGCTGGTGCCGCATCGAGCGCGCGGGCGGCGATCAGGGCGCCCGAGGACGCTGCCCAGGGGCTGGATCTACAGCGAGAGGCTCAGGAGCAGTTGCGACAGGTGAGAGCTCGTCACTTGCAGTAAGGTCGTTCTCATGGCGGTGAACGGCTGAGAGATTGCAGGCCTCGCAGAGGGTGACTTCTACCCGGTGCGTTTGCAGGTGCCGGGACCGCCTCTCTGGCACGAACGGCTGTGCGTATACCTTCCTCAGCAGGCCGGTGCGGTCTGCGCTTGCTATACGCCAGACGGGGACAGCTACGAGGAGGACCTCGGGGCTGGCCGCGACGCCGCAGAGTGGTGTTTCCTGCCAGGCGGTGCTCAAGGAGGGGCGCCGCCGGCTGGGGCGGGAGGTGCTGGTGCTCGCCTCTACCGCTTCCGCGCCATCCCGCTGGCCGCGGAGCTGGGGCAGGCGCGTGACCGAGCTGCTCAGCGGGCTGGCGCCGCCGCGCCGGGGCTGCCACTGGCGCCGAACACGGTCGGCCGTGCTGGCGCACCGCCGGCTGGGGTCGGCATGCCGGGCGTGGCGCCCGCTGCCGCTGGCGCGGCCGCCGTGGCCGGAGGCGCCGCCGCTGCTGGGGCTCCTGGGGCCCTCGCGCCTGTGCCCGCGGGTGCTGGCGTCGGAGGCGGGCTCGGGGCACTCGCCGCGGTGCTGGGGCCTGCTGGTGGCGCCGTCGCGCCGGGTGCTGGCCCTGGTGGCGCCCTGGTGGGGGCCGCCCCTGCGGCGCCGCTCGCCCCAGTCGCCCCCGTGGCGGGCGCCCTGGTGGCCGGCCTGGCGCCTGGCCCAGTGGCGCCGCCCGCGCCGCCGCCAGCTGGAGGTGGAGCTTTCATGGTCTCCGACCTGAGGGTGCACCCCATCGTGGTCGACACCATGGCGAGGCGACATCGCCCTTTCGCGGAGGCGCTGCCCATGCTGACGGAGACGCCCTGGGCCGACTGACCGGTCAGAGGCCCTCGTACGTTGAAGTGGGTCTGTCACTTTCTAGCAGGCAACGGCGGCAGTCCCATCGCGCGCCACCATCGGTGGAAGACCGACTGCAGGTTGACAAACGAGGGCGGTGTGGAGGAGCACCTGCGAATCTGCACCGCCCTCGAGAACGCCGTGTGCTTCGACCAACTGAATGTGACCGAAATGGCCAGCTTCGAGCTTCTCGGCAGGAGCTTGCAGATCATCGAGGAGAAGTATCGTGAGAGGACTGCAGGCGCTGCGGACCCCGTGCGCATGGATCAGCACCTGTACCTGGGGACTGAGCTGGTGCGCGGCAACTGCTCCGTGTGCCCAGCCTTGCAGGCATGGGTCAGCCAGGAACTGGCTCAGGAGCACGCGATCCTGAAGGAGAGGAGGAAGGCCCGTGAAGAGCGCGCCGCCGCCCAGACTGCCACGAAGGCCAAAGCGAAGGCCAAGGGTGGCAAAGACGGCGGCGGCGATGATGGTTAGGCAGGCTGCCGGCGGCGAGGACAGGGCCACCCCCGCCGGCCACTTCAGGCCCCCGCCCGGACTACGCCACCCCGGCGCTGCTTTTCCTGGCGATGCATGCGACTCCTCTTCGGCTGGGCCTCTCCCTGATCCTCGGCAGCGTGACCTGTTCCCGCTGCCGCCGCTGACGCTCCGCTGCGGTGCAGGAGGGCCCGGGCCTGGGCGCAGCCGCGTCGTTGGCAGGCGGCGCCAGAGGAGTTCCAAGACGACCGATTGGGCGAACAGCTGCATCGACTCCCTCAACTCAGCCTATGGGTTTGCGAAGTCGGAGCAGCCGTCATCAGCTGGCAACGCTGGTCAGCGCGCGGCGCTGGCCCACATCGAGTCACAGTTCTTGCAATTGGGTGGGCCCCCTGCGGACTCACCCGGAGGCGCGGGAGCCCTCGCCGAGCTCTGCGCCGCTGGCGGCCCGTATCACGCGGAGCCCTCCAGCACTCGCCCCTGCGCCAAGGGAAACGTCTCCCTGCCCGATGGCGCTGGCAAGCCCGTGCCGTTGCTGGATTTGCTCGCCGAGGGTGACCGCAAGTGGCTGGGGTCCTCCTGTGGCGATCTGCTCAGACCGGAGAGCGAGGCCCTCTCGCTTGTGGCGGAGGCCTGCCCGCGCGGCCCCTACACGGATAGGGGACTGACGGGCAGGCCTTTCTGTTGCGCTGACTTTTTAAAGGACCTCGCTCAGAGGAACATGATTTCTTTTTGGCGCTCTTGCACAGCTCGCGCCAGGGTGTGCATCTTCTTCGTAGCTGAGAAATCTGGTGCTTTGCGCATGATCTTCGATACCAGGCAGGTAAACTGTTTTTTCGGGACCCTTTTTCCACGAGACCCCCCACCTCCTCAGCCCTCAGTTCCGTCGAGCCGGGTTCCGAGGGCATGTGCGTATCCGGCGGGGACATCGACAATTGCTTCTACCGCATAGGCCTACCCAGCGAGCTGCGTGAGTACTTTCCGTTGCCTGACATCGCAGCGGGGTATCTTGGGCTTTCCACGTGCGAGGGGCGCGCGGTGAGCCCCAGAGATTCGCTCGCGCCGGTGCTCACGGTGCTTCCCATGGGATGGTCGTGGGCTATGCATCTCGTTCAGATTGTGCTCGTCAACAGCCTAGTGGTGTCGGGGTTCCCCCAGCCTCAGATGATCCTCGACGGGGGGCCCGGGAAGGAGTTGAAGGATGAGGAGTCGTGCGTCGTCGCGGGGTACGTCGACAACTTTTTCGTGTTCAGCCGCTCGGCTTCGAGGGCCCAGGCGGGCCGTGACGCCATCGCTAAGCGCCTCACAACCTTGGGGCTCCTGGTCCACGAGATGTCGGACGCGTCCAAGGACGCCGAGTTCTTGGGGGTCGAGCTCGTGGGCGGTCGGAGGCTCTCGATTCGACGTCGTAACGTATGGCGACTCAGACGGGCTCTTGACATCGTTATTCGGAGACGGGTGGCTAGTGGGAAGTTGGTGGAGATCCTCTTGGGGCACCTTACGTGGGCCGGTCTCGTTCGTCGCGAGTGTCTGGCTCTGTTCTCAGATGTGTACGCTTTCCAGCACAGTGCAGGCCCCAGGCCGACGCGACTTTGGCCTGGCGTGTTGCGCGAGCTGAGCTGGATCAGAGGTATGCTGCCGCTCCTGGCTGCCGACCTGTTCGGCGCCGTGGAGCCCGCAAGTTCTCGCGTCGGAGCATCGGGCGCCTCCGAGCATGGGCTCGGCATTTGTTCACGCCTGCTGGATCCACGCACAGTGGGCTCGATCGGGCGCTGCTCGGAAAGGTGGCGCTTCAAGGTGGAGGGCTATGCACGCGCTAGACACTCTGCCCTTCACGGATATCCTCCTCCTCCTGTGGGTGCTACTTCGACTCCTACATTGATGACTAGTAACATAGACGATTTGAAGATCTCCGTGAACCCTGAGGTTAACCCCTCGGACCTGCCCCCCAAGGCCTCGGTGGACCCCATTTACATCCTACAGTGGGCCGGGGCTTTCAACGAGGTCCCCGAGTGGATCTTCGAGGCGGAGTCTTGGTCTACCATCTTGGCGGCTAAGGTCTTGGGCGAAGCTAACATTCTTTGTCTGGAGGGCGACGCTTTGCTGCTTGCTGCGAAACACCTGCTCCGAAGCTGTAGCAACTTTGGCACCCGCTGTCTCGTGTTTGTGGACAATCTTCTTTTGGCCCTCGCCATGGCCAAGGGCAGAGCGAACACCGTCCATCTCCAACGTGCACTTCGCAAGCTTTGTTGTCTCAGTCTTTGTTCGGGTACCAGATTTGTCAGCAGGTGGATCCCTTCAGAATGGAATGTCGCTGATGTCCCGTCCCGTGGCCATTTGGGCTGGTTCTCAGGCGGCCACGTGCCCTCTGTGCCCCGCTTCTCGCGAGAGGCGCATGGGCAGGGCCCTGCGGCGGCCGAGCGCGGCCCCTCTGCCCCGGCCTCGCCTGCCGCGCTGCCGAGCGCCCGCGGCGCTAGTGGTGGAGAGGGGCCGCGCGGCTCGCGAGGCGGTCGCGGCGCAGCCGAGCTTGGCGGGCTGAGCACGCTGGAGCGGCTTGCGATCCGGCCCTCCACGGAAGCCCTGTACGCCTCGGTGCTGAAGCGCTTCATGGACTTCTGCCAGCAGGAGGGGCTCTCGTGGACGGACACCGGCTCCCTGGACGCGGCGCTGGTGTCCTTCCTCAACCAACTGTTCTTGCTGGGCTTGGGGCCGGACGTGGGCTCGCAGACCCTGTCGGCACTGGGTCACTGGCTGCCGGAGCTGGGGCGCTCCACACGCGCGCTGTTGCCGCGGGCCGCCAGGTGCTGCGCAGCCTGGCGCCGGAGGGTGCCGGCTCAGACGCGGCTGCCGATGCCGCGGGCGGTGGCGGGTGCCATCGCAGGCCTCTTCATTCACTGGGGCCCCCCGCGGGCGGGGCTTCTCCTGCTGCTAGCGCTGGTCGCTTACCTGAGGCCGCGCGAGCTCACCGGGCTGAGAGCCCGACACGTCGTGCCGCCGGTGGCGTCAGCAGGGGCAGCTTACTCCGCGCGGGGCCTGCTGCTGGGCGACATGGCCACCCTGCAGCCAGGCAAGACGGGGGTCTGGGGCGAGTCGGTGCTGCTGGACATGGACCCCTGGATCCTGAGGCCGCTGGCCGCCCTGAAGGGCTCGCTCGCCCCCGACGCGCTGCTTCGCGACCTGTGCCCGGCGGGCCTGAAGGCGCGCTTCGAGAGCGCCGCGCTGCAGCTCGGCCTGGCCCCTTTGCGGCCGAGCCTGCACCGGCTGCGGCACGGCGGCGCCTCCGAGGACCTGGCTCTGCAGCGCAGACCACTGGCCGCCGCGCAGAGGCGAGGCCGTTGGCAGAGCGAGACCTCGCTTCGCAGGTACAGCAAGGAGTCAAAGCTGCTGGCCATCCTCAACCTCGTGAGCCCCGAGGTGGTGTCCTTCGGCCAGTCGGTGGTGGACAACCTCGAGGCTGCCTTGCTGCGCGGTCTGGCCGACCCCAGGAGTCGCATCGTGCGGGGGCCCGCCGCGGACGCGCTGCTCCTCAGGGGAACGCCAGTGCCGCTCGCGAAGGGCTCGACCGCGCGGGCAGGCGGGCAGCCACTGCTGGGGCGGCCGCGCCGCTGACCGCCTCCGACGGCGACGTCGCTCGGCACCTGCACCGCCGCTTTGCCGCCGAGATCCAGCGGCCAGGCCGGCAGAAGCGAATCCTGCCTCACCGCTGCTTCTCAGAGCTCTTCGGTGGGTCAGGCTCTCTGGCTCAGGCCTTCAGGCGGCGAGGCGGCGCCGCCCTTTCCCTGGACTGGGCTCACGGTGCCGTAGAGGATCATTTACGGCCAGCCTTTTTCAGAGTCGTCAAAGGTTGGATTACCTCGAATGCGCTGTATGGTGTGTTTTTGGGAACGCCTTGTACGTCCTGGCCTCGTGCCGTTCGGATTGGTCTTCGTACCTCTCGCGAGCCCATGGGCGCGCCTGACCTGTCAGAGCGCCACCAGCGCATGGTCGACATCGGCAACTCGTCTCTGACCCTCTCAGTTGCCATCATTCACCTTTGTCGTAAGCATGGCATCCCTGTTGGCTTGGAGAATCCTCGCTCCTCAATCCTGCGGCTTGCGCCGCCCCTTGCCTCTCTCCTCAATGCCGAGGACCGTCGGATCCCCCACTTCGACCAATGCGCTTTTGGTTCCTCTTGGAAGAAGGCTACCACCGTGGCGCTGTGGGGCGCTGGTCTCTGTGATGACCTTTGTCGGGCTTGCGGTGGCCGCCGAGGAATTTGTGGGCACACCAAGCTCCCGCATGTGATCCATGTAGGTCGAGATCCCGGGGCCCCTGCAAAGCGCACGGCCCTCGCGGCCGCGTACCCCAAGAAGATGGCTGCTGTTGTGGCCCAGCAATTGCTTGAGGTTGCCCAGAACCTGGAGTCCTCCAAGTCGTTCGGAAAGGCGTGGGAGTTGGCGGCCTGACGGCCATTTCACCACGCGGGAGATTGGGGACGGGTTTGGCGTGCAGATCGCCAGCCTGCTGGCCTATTCTCTTGCCGGTGGTCGAACAGCGTCGACTTCGCCATCGCCGCAGTGTCTCTATAAAAAGGTTGGGGCCCTAACTGAACCTCGCACCATTGCTTGTAGTCCTTTGGGTGTCTCGTTGGGTCCCGAGCTTTCTCAGTCTCCAGCCTGGCGTCGAGGAGCGTTTCTGGTGCTCCCCACATTTCAATGTTTAAGCAAGAAGAAGAGAGGAGGGACGCCGAACCGCAACGTTCGGCTCAAGCGACCCGACCCTCCCACCCTAATTCGGTATATGTTTCTCCGTTGGGGGGTTGGCGTCCAGATCGCCAGCCTGCTGGCCTATTCTCTTGCCGGTGGTCGAACAGCGTCGTTTTCGCCATCGCCGCAGTGTATCTATAAAAAGGTTGGGGCCCTAAGTGAACTTCGCACCAATGCTTGTAGTCCTTGGGGTGTCTCGTTGGGTCCCGAGCTTTCTCAGTCTCCAGCCTGGCGTCGAGGAGCGTTTCTGGTGCTATATATATATATATATATATATATATATATATATATATATATTGCGGTCCTTTCCGGGTGCCCGGCGGGACGGGCCGAAGCCCCACGGGTAGCCCTGTTGGAATGATACCGGAGAAAAGCCCCAATCAGGGCTATAGGGCTAGGGGGCTATAGGGCTAATGAGCTATAGGGCTATAGAGCTATAGGGCTATAGAGTTGTAGGGCTATAGGGCTACTGGGCTATAGGGCTATAGGGCTATAGGGCTTAGGGCTATAGGGCTATAGGGCACCCCCGGGCACCCCCGGGCACTCTCGGGCACCCCCGGGCACGCCCGGGCACCCCAGCACCCGGACACCCTGGCACCCGGGCACCCCCCGGCACCCCCCGGGCACCTGTGCCTTGGACACCCCCGAACACCCGGGCACCCGGGCGTGCAGCGAAAATCGGCGACTAACCGAACCTAACCATATGAATCCGCTAGGACCCCTACAGAGGCAAGCTCTGACTGGGGAAAACGATCCAAACAAAAGGCCGCAGGATTTAGCATGCCAGGCACCCCTGTGACAAGCACAGGGGGCGGCGGATTTACTGGTGCTCGGCCCATCCGGTCACCGTGCCTTGGTTGTTGGTCAGAGGTCCCTTGGTTGCCTGTGGGGACCTAGTGGGAGGCGTCTCGGTAACCTCTTGGAGGCGGTTTTGATGTGTCTTCGAGGTCTTAGGGCCTGATTTGGGCCTCTCGGGGGCCTCCTGGATCCCGTGGGGGGTTCTGATTCTTGAGGGCTTGCTTGCGGTCTCGGAAGTTGCCGTGGGGAGAGCCCGAAGTTTCGATTCCTGTTCCCGTTCTACGGCGTCGCTTGGGCCCCCTTGTGACCCTATTGAGCCGTCTTGGATGACTCTTGGGCTGTCTTGCAGCCCTCTTGGGCCATCTGGGGCCCTCTTCGGGACCTCTTGGGCTTTCTTGGGGCGATGTCTCGGGCCGTCTTGGAGCGCCGGAAGCCAGAAAAGCGCGAGAACGCTAAATCTTCCAACAACCTGAAGAACATGAATGGTTTTAGTCTGTTGAAGCCCTCGTGGGTGGCCTTTGGAGTCCTCTTGGAGCGTCTTGGGGGCCATCTTGGCCGTCAGAAGGCCATCTTGCGCGTCTTGCAGCGATCTTCTGGCCATTCGGAGCGCTCTTGGACCGTCTTTGAGGCCTCTTTGGGCCGTCCCGGCCCGTTTCCGGGCCCTCATGGCTCCGAAGAAGTCACGCGAGAACATGCGCCAGTACGCGCCGCTGCCTGGGAAATTTGGGAATTTCGGGCCCAGGCGCTTTGATATTCATTCAATCAGGACAGGACGGAGAACTGAAGGGACCTGCGGGCATTCCAACTCGTTGCTCGCGGCACGGTGGCAGAAGTAATTTCGTATCGTTGGGACTGAAAGCGTACGACTACATCCCCCAATTGTTCGCACTCCACCCCTCCATCTTCGCCAGGCCCGTCAAGGGTGAGTTGCTCCGATTAATACTGGCAGACACGACAGGGAGGACTGTTTCAACTCACACGGAGCAGGTGTTGTTTTCCATGAAAGAGCCCAGAGCACGGGGCTACAACATGAAGCAAGTCGGCCAGGTAAGATGTATCTTTCAATCCGATGGCGGGCGGAATGCGATCGCCAGCATGTGCTGAAGAGGCAGCAGCAGGTGGTCAAATATACATACATGTTCTCGTGTACACGTATTTGGTGTCATTTCCACCTGCGCTTGGGGTTGGAGAGAGTGCGCCCCCAACGGCATTCTGAAACGCAGCCAACACCCTGTCTGACAAGTTGGGGGCGCAGTGAGGGCGCCCACGGTTCAGAGTATGCAGGAGCATCTTCAGACTTCTGTGTAGGCACCCGTGGCGGATTTTGTTTGTCACCGCCCTTTCTCGGGGCGTTGTGCGTCGCGTGGTCGCAGACCCGGCAGGAGACTCGAGGAAGGTGAGGCGATTGCAGAGAACAAGTTCATCGACATTTGCAGCGCGCCGGAGGAGCAGGACGACCAGGAGCCGATGGGGAGCTCCCAGTTGCCCCAGTTGCCCTCCTGGCGAAAACGCTCCACTGCCGTTAACGTAAGCCCGCTCAGCACGCCCCTCCCTCCAGGATCCCGAGGAAGGCCTTGCTGAGAACAGGAGGGTCCTGCAGAGGCCCTTCCGTCACTGCCTCCCTCCTTCCTTTTCCCCCTCTTTCGCTGCCTCCTCCATTCTCTCCGCGCCCCCCCCCTTCCTCCGTCCTTCGCCCGTCCTCCCTTCGCTCTCCCTCCTCCCTCCCTTGCCCGTCCTCCTCATTCACTTTCTCCCTCCCCCCTTTATCACCAGGGGGAATGAGGAAGAGGCGTCCCCCCGCCAGCAGCATTTAGCTGTACTCTGTAGAGCCTGTACTTGGATTCAAAGATGGGCCCAGCGACTTGTTCACGCTGGACTGTAGTGCTGTAGAAGTTCGCCCACGTGGTCGACGGAGGAGATGCAGCATCCGCAGGTCACTCCTCTTCCTCATCCTACTTCTTCTCTGCTCCTCGTCCCCATCCGCCTTCTCCTTCTCCTGTAACCTCCCATGAAGGAAGAGGGATGGCCAGGAGGGAGGAGGGAGGATGGATGTAGCCGCAGCCCTGGAGCCACTCGCAGCTGCTTTGGGTAAGGTCTTCCACCAGGCTAAATTTGTTCAACGATGCACGGCAATTTATAATGTTGGCTCCCAGGAGGTCCGATGCGACCGTCTTGGCCTTTCCTCGCGTGTGCGGTGCAATGGCCGACGCCATATTTGATTGATGGCAGCGGAGGTCCACGCTACTGGTTGCGTGAACATCGACCCCTAATCGAACAGAAAACACACGACCGTCCATTATTTTTGTTGACGACGCGTCGCGCATCCCCTCCAACCCGTCCGACACCAGGCTTCCGTGGAGTTGGCCTGATCAGGGGTCTGTAGCATAATGTGTTCCAGCAGTGAACCACATCCGTCTTCGCTGGTTTCTGGAAGGACGAGGAGGAAGAAGCCCAGGAAGATGGAGGGAGGTGGATCAAGCGGAACATGCGAACACCGTACATAATTACAAAGGCGGGTCGGAGTTTCATGACAGGTTTGTGAGCGTCGCTCAGCCCACTGTAAGCATCTCCTCACTGAATTGGTTAATCTGTAGGTCGTTGTGTCGTGCGCTTTTACGGGCGCTGTTGCCTCCGGGGCCATCGTGGGGCCTTCTTGGAGGCCTCTTTGGGCCCTCTTCTTGTTCTCTCGGGCCCCTCTTGGGCCGCTCTTGGGGCTCTCTTGGAGCCCTCTTGGCGGCCTTGGGGGCCCTCCTGGGGCCAACCCGAGAGGACATCGATCAACCGAAGGGGGTCTTCGATTTGGACCAGCCCCGTCGGAACCCTCAGAATAACCTTTCGCGGCCCTCTTCGGGCGTTCTTGGGACGGTTTTGGGCGCTCTTGGGGCCGTATTGGGACTCTCGTGGGCCATCTTGGAGCCATGCTGACGCGCTAATCAGAAGCGAAATGGCGAGAAGGCAAACTACATTGTGATCGTGTGGGGGGGCCTTGGAAGGCTCGGAGGGTACTGGGAGCCGTCTTGAGGTGGTCTTGAGGCCTCCTGGAGGTATTGTACGAGCTATCTTGATCTATGTTGGGTTATGCGATCGTGGAGGCCATCTTGGGTTCTCGGGGGCCCTCTTGGAGCCATCTTGTGGCAAACATGACACTCTGACACCTTGCGGGCCCCCCTCCATCCAGGCCCAGTGGGAGGGGGTAGGGGGAGGACCCCTCCCCTCCCCAAAGGGAAAGATGGGATTAGCAGAACGAGCTCCCTAGACCACTCACGCCAAGATGGCTGGTGGGATTTCCTATCGCTGTACTATTAAGTGTGGGCCACATCGACATCGCTGAGCGGGGTGTTGGTTGGGGAGGGGTGAAGAAAAGTATATGGAGGAGTGCCAGTGGAGCAATGCGAGGGAAACGACGAGGAACATGAAGGCGAGTGCGAGGATGACGTCGGGAATACTCCTGTGGTGTGGTGTGGTGAAGAGGCTGCGGCTTGCGACGCGGGGCCCTGAGGCCTGCGACGGTGCCTGAACCTGGATGTCGTGAACAGTCTAGTGATTGACGGCCTAGCACATAATGGAAATATGAAGGGGTGGCTCGCCACCTTCCTTCGCTCGGGGCTGGTGGCAAGCATCCTCGCGATTGTTCTCGTCGGTGAGTTCTTTGGTATGGCCGGCACCGACTGTGCGCTACCAGACGCGTCTCGTGTAGCATTCCATGGTTCACACAACCAGTGTCGGTTGCATTCGGTTGGGCCAGCTCATGAGGTTGGCTGTCGCGAGTGATGATGTGAGGCCGCAGTGCAGACTTAGTGGACGTGCTTGTGCTACACTCGTGCAAAGTGAAACGGGGAGTGGTCTTGCTCGATGGATGTTTTCAGTGAGGACCTCTGGAGCGCCAAGGAGGTGGCCTCAGCGAGTGAACATGCAGACGAGGAGGGTGACGAAATGGATGCCGACAATGAGATCCTGAGGGCAAGGGCACGGAGGGCAATGGACGGAGGCACACAGGGCAACGACTCGGAGGGCAACGACACGGACGGCCGAGGTGGATAGCGAATATAGACTCAGCGATGAGCACTTCGGTGGAGTGGCCGTCGCAGGGCGAGCTCGTCCTTCGGCCGAGTGGCGAATTGTACACCCGCGATCTGCATTGCCTGTGTGGATTGGCCGTGGTTGGGTGCTGATTTGCGGATCAGTGCATCTTCGCAGCACGGTATGAGGCGCCACACAGCAGACGAGTCGCGTTTTTAGTGGTTGTGGCAACAGCGATATCACCTCGTACCACTACATCGCGTGCGATAGAGATACACCTTTCTCTGGCGTTGAGGCTGGCGATGCGAGTGATGCCAGCTGCGATCGCCTTGATTCACTTGGTATGCACTGCATTGCCGCGGCCACGAACTATTACTTGTCATTGCCCGTTGCCTCCGCAGAGCGTCACGGAAACAATGATTTCGAGCTGGCCCATGGCGGCGCCGAAGAGCAAGACTTGAGGTGGCCTTCCCGTGGTGCGTAAGTTTCGGACTGGACGTGTCAGTGGACCCCCCTTTTCATTGTGCTCCAGTGCGCTCTCCTTCTACAGCTATGTTTCTAACACCCACCGCCACGCATTAGCGAGCAGACGGCCAGACGCGAGAGGCGTTGTCGAGAAGTCGGTGCGCCACCACCCGTCGGCATCCCGGTTCTGCGCGCGTCTGAGTGCATCCGAGGGGCTAGTTTTCCGCACCGCGCTTGCTTCAAACGTTCACCTTATCGGGAGTTTATGCGTGGGGGGTACGGGTGGTTCGTGGGGAGAGCGGCGGGGATGGGGATAATGGGGTAGGGGGAGGAGGGGAGAAGGATCGGGGGGAGGGGGGAGAAGGATCGGGGGGAGGGGGGAGGAGGTGAGGGGAGAGGGGACGGAAGCGGGGGATGGGCAAGTTGTGGTGGAGGGGTGACTAGGGGGTGAGGGGGAGTAGGAGAAGGATGTAGGGAGCGGGAGCGGGAACGGAAGGGGATGGGGGCACGCGCACCAAGCAAGTGCTTCGCAGCGGCTTGGTGCATCGAAGCCGTGACGCGCCGATGGTCTTACATGTCAAGGGTGACAGTGATATTGGCTGGGATGTTTATCCAAGAGCCAGTGTATTCGTTCACTGCTGAGGCTCTGGCCGAATCAGAAACAGCACTCGCAGCATATCGTATCGTCAGAACTCTGCCGTCAACAACTCGACTTAGACTCCATGAAAGAAGGGAATGGGAACGGCGAGGGGAATGGGGAGGTGATGAGGTGAGGATGAGGCGCAGGCGAAGGCGACGGCGGAGGAGGAGGAGGAGGAGGAGGATGGAGGAGGAGGAGGAGGAGGAGAAGGAGAAGGAGGAGGCAGAGGACGATGAGCAGGTGGAGGCGAAGGTAGGCGGCTGATGGACATGCCGTAGATGTGTGTGTGTGGGGGGGGGAGGCCTTTGCTGTGGTCACACGCCGAGGCTGCACCGCGTGGCGATCGCTCCCAGGTTCGCCAAGGCCCCTCCCCCTGTCAGGCGGTTCCCCTCCCTGGTGCGCGCAAGGAGGAGAAACCGAATCAACCCAGTGTGCGTCAGTGATGCTGCAATGCGACCTCCCGTCTCAGGTGCCCTTGCCATGTCTACGAGCATTCTTCTTCAATGAGGGAAGCCCCCCCCCCACTCTTTCAACGATGAGGTCCCCGTGAGCCTGCTATTCAATCGAGAGCCCCGTTCCCAACAGGATGTTTATTTCGGCTCCTATACTTGAGCTTTGCCACGGGGCATTGTCGTAAGCCTTGGCAAGATGCCATTCACAATGAATGGAAGGGTGATGACAACCTTGCGGAAACGTTGCCTGCCGACCCCCAGTCCCCATTCTGACGGTGGTGTCGCGTCTCATGGGTATTGCCGCCGTTGGAAAGTATGCTGCATTATTGGTAAGGTCGGCTATAAGGACGAGGAGGCCTCGTGGGCCTCGTGCGAGAGGTCCATTTTGGAAAGGGGCCGCTACCCATCCGTGTAAGTATTGCGCATTGCGATAAGTCTAGTTATGAACTCTGCAATGCCAGGTGAGAGGGCCCAATTGAAATATGGAGCCATCATCCACCAATTTTAGTTATTAGAATATTCGAATGCGACTGTGCGCGGCGCTTAAGCGAGGGTCACAGGTTGAACACGGGCTATACGCCACTTGTCTAGCGGTTCGAGATGTTTGACACGAATGTACGCGACGATGAGGCGAGATTCACATGTTGAAAGGGGCCCGCCCTGCATCCATGTAGTTGTTGGCGATATTTAACTCCAGGGTCATGTGAGGGCATTGACATCAGCACGCCAGGCCCCCATCCATCCGTCTGGTGGTGCGACGAGGAGGAGTTAGTTACTCAGAACGGACGAGGGGGAGGAGAAGGAGGAGGGGGAGGAGGAAGACGAGGAGGAGGACGACGAGGACGAGGAGGAGGAGGAAGAGGAGGAGGAGGAGGAGGAGGAGGAGGACGAGGAGGATGGGAATGGCGCCCTCTGGCTTGCGCCCCCCCGTACGTGGATTCCATAATTCCATTTGCATAGATTCGTCTCCCGTTCCGTCTTGTCGTACCCCCATTTGCCCGTCATTATTATTGTCCTCTCGTTTCCCCCCTCCGTCTCCTTTCCTCATTCTTCCCCCGACCCACGACACCATTCCCCCCATATCTCAAGTTTCCCCATGCCTGCCTTCTCCTCCTCCCCCTACACTCCCGTCCCCCTCACCACCCTTCGCGCTTACCCTCTCCCTTCTCCGCTGCTGCCTTCACCCCTTTTGTCCACTTTGCCCCGCAACTCCCCCCACTAGCTCCCCCGACTCTCCTCCTCCTCGTTTCCCCTTTCTGCCCCCCCCCCCCCCCCCTTATAGGGTGTCCGTGGCAGTTGTCTGTAACAGACCCCCTCTCAGGAGGAGGCGCTCGCCGACGCGCGGGACGTCGAGGAGGTCGTCGCCCGCATGGGGATGGAGGGGCTGAGGGCCGCGGCGATCGAGCGGGGGCTCAGCACCGCGGGCACGAGGGGCGAGGTGGCCGCGCGGCTCGCCGTGGCCCTGCGGGAGGAGCTCGACGCGGACGGGGCAGCCGAGGAGGAGGAGGAGCCCGAGGACGACCTCGAGGAGCTCGTCGCCGCCATGAACCTGGCGGAGCTGCGGAAGGCGCTCGCGGAGCGGGGGCTCAGCGCGGAGGGCAGGCGGGCACAGCTCGCGGAGCGGCTGCTGGCCGCCCTGGCGGAGGCGCAGGGGGAGTCCGCCGAGGAGCTCGTGGAGGCGATGAGCGCGGCGCAGATGCGCTCTGCGCTGGCGGCGCGCGGCCTGGGTACCTCGGGCCGGCGGGCCGAGCTCGCCGCACGTCTGCTGGAGGCCATGGCGGAGGACGAGGAGGGCGAGGAGTCGGAGGCGGACGGCGCTGCCGAGGAGGAGGAGGAGGACGCAGAAGGCCCAGGGGCCTCCAAGAAGGAGAAGAAGAGGCTCAAGGAGCAGAGGAAGAGGGAGAAGGAGCAGAAGGCGCAGGCCGCCGCGAGAGCCCTGGAGGAGAAGAAGCTGCGGGAGAGCGAGAGGCGAAAGGAGAGGAGGAGGTGCGCGAAGCAGGGCGAGCCGCAGGAGGATCTCGAGAGGGAGCGACCGCCCGAGGGGAGCCGAGGCAGGAAGGCGAAGCAGAAGAACAAGAAGGAGACGGAGGGCTGCGAGCCCGACCGCAAGGAGGCCGAGGCGGGCGATGACGCCGCAGCGACGCTGAGGACGGAGGGCGGAAGGGCCGCCGAGGAAGTCGTTGGTGAGGGCGACCGTCGGGTCGGGACAGCCGAGGAAGTCGCTGGCGAGGACGACGTCGCGACCGTCGGGTCGGCGGCAACACCAGACGCCGCCGCGGCGCCGCAGGGCTCGGAGATCTATGTCTGGGCCGACCCGTTGCCCGCAGACGCCGCGGCGGCCTTGGCGGAGATGGGTGTGGCGCCCGGCGCGCGGGTCACCGATGTGGAGCTGGCCGGGGTCGTCGCAGAGGGAGGACCCGATGTCGCCGTGGCTTGTGGCCTCATCATGACGCTCTCCGAGGCCGTCCGGAGGAAGAAGCAGCTCCGCGACGCAGAAGTCGGCGGTGCTGGCCTCCGAGCCGACGGGGGCTACGCGTGGGGAGACCCGCTGCCAGCAGACAGCGCGGAAGCCTTAGCTGCGATGGGCGTTGTGGCTGGCGCTCGAGTGAGCGAGGTGGAGCTGCAGGGCATCCTTGCCGAGGGCGGCCCCGGAGCCGCCATCGCCTGCGGTCTGATCAGACCCGTCTGGGACGACGGCCAGCGCGGCGAGGGCTGCAGAGAAAATTTAGGGGGGTTGTGGTTTCTCCTGGTTTCTGTGAAGCCGCCGCCACCAGGAAATCCTAGTGCTTTGCTTCGTGCCGTGTGTGCCGTACTTGCGAACATGCGCGCGCACGAGCGATGGACCTCACGCAGGGCCGGCGGCGTCCGGTCGTCCTGTTGCTGATTTTTCTGGCGCATGGCGTGATATCGTGGTATCACGGTGTTTTGGTATCGCGTCTTCTTCATGCCCTTATGTCTTAGCTGAATTCAGATGAGTCGTGAATCACAAGGCGTAGGCCGTGACCCAAACATGGCAACACAATCGTGAGAACCCTTCAGAGCAGCGGCGAACAAACACGTCTAAGGAGTTGTTCAATAGGAGCAGGAACAGTTCGGAACAGGATCAGCCAAGTCAGGACGCATCCACGGCACCCCAGTGCAACAGGAGCAGCCGGGAACTGCCAGGAGCAGCTGGGAGCAACAGCGGAAACAGAAAAATTCACGGCGGCCAGGCGAAGCAGAAACCACAAGGAACAGCCAGGAACACAAGTGCATCAGGAGTAGCTCGGAGCTGCCGAACGGAGCAAATGTTTGGCCGCCAGGCGCGAGGGGGACAGCCAGGAATAGCCGAACCAAGCATATATCCTGCAGGTAGGTGCAATGGCGCCGATGGCGCAGCCAGGAACAGTCGAAATATGCAAGTCCTCTACAGCGAGACGCGACAAGAACTGCTGAGAACAGCCGAGCCAAGCGGATTCCCACAACTCAGGCGCATGAGGAACAGCCAGGAAAACAATCCTCAGCAGCTCGGCGCAACAGGGACAGCCCGGAACAGCCCAGCCACGCAACTTTCCAACAGTCAAGCATGTGAGGAAAAGCCGTGAAAACCTGAACAAAGAGTCCCAACAGCCAGGGGCAATCTCTCAAGATCCTACGAACCACTCAGCGCAAGAATTGTCGTCGAAACGCGAACGGCAGGGGGAATTATCTAAAGCATGAGTAACAGTCAGTGCTCGCACTGGCCGTTGAGCCCAGCAGGAATTGCCGAGAACGCTGGAACGTGCTGGAACACCCGAACCAACAAAATCACCGATGCCAGGGGCAACGAGCAGCGAGCAAGAAAATCACCGGCAGCGAGGCAACAGGAATTGCCTGGCACAGCCAGGGGCAGTCCTTGTTTTCAATCCCCACCCCCTGACGCAACCCACTTTGGCCCCACGGGGTCTGGGAGCCCTTTGGGCTTTTTGGGGGATCATTCGGCCTTAAGAGGCCTGCAAGATGAGTCCAGCACAGCCCGAAGAGACCGCAAGATGCCTTAAGAGAGGTTCCACGATGCCCCGAGAAATGGCCCAGGTAGCAACAACATCAGCAAGTTTTGTAGTACTTTAAACTCTTTCTAGATTATCAGGATCCTCTCCTTCAGATGGTTTCGGGAGCGCTTCAGAGGACCCCAAGATGGCGCAACACCGTACAATACGTCGGGCCCAGAGAACCCCAATATGGCCCCAACGCCTCCAGAGCGGCCCAAGACCGCCCAACATAGGCCCAAGACGGCCCAAGAAAGCGCCAAGAATTAGGTCTAAGAGGCACCCCGAAGAGTCCCCAGGCGGCGACGACGGCCAAGATGCGACCCCAGGACGCTCCCGAGAGGCTCCCCCAAGCCCTGGAAGGCTCCCAAGAGGCCCCCCAAACGGCCCAAGGTCGGCCCAACATAGTTCTCAGGCAGTCCGAGAATGTCCGCCAGAGCGCCCGAAAAGTCCAACACACTCCACGAGATCCATCGGATCTACCCCGCACCGAAATTTCGCCCTCCGTGGTCCGCGGGCGGCTGATTGCTGTGGCGTGCCCGCTCGCTCCCTTCTCCTTTTCTCCTATTCTCGGCAGCGAGCCCAGGGGGGAAGGCAGAGAGGGGCGGGCAGAAGGCCTCTGACCTTCTGAGAAGCGTTCTAAGCCTTCTCCAGAGACGCATAGTGCCTCCCAAAAGGCCAGGGGGCTTCTGAGAAGCCCCATCGCCTTCTGAGAAGGCCTGGCCCCCACTCACTTCCCCCTTGGCGCGCATCCGAACCTTCCCTCAATGCTGCCGCTTTCCTCCTCCGTCTCCTTCTTCACTCCCTCCTCCAGCCTCCCTTGTTCGTCCTGCCTCCCCCCTTCCTCCTTCCTCCAACTTCCCTTCTCCCTCGTCCCTTCTGCCCGCCCCTTCCTTATCCCTCCTCCCTCCTCCCTCGTTTCTCATGTGACCTTCCCCATATCCCCTCTTTCGGTATTCTCCTCGGCCTGGGTCAGAGCACCGACCTCGAGAGTACACGGAATCAATGTAAAAAAAAGACAGGAGGATGAGGAGAGCACCCACTTTGAGCAGTTGCATTTAACGCCCGTTTAGTGCAGCTGGAAATCTTGGCGTCCAGTAAGGAGTCCCGCGGGCGAGTCTGGCCAGGCATGTCTAAAATCAGATGCGGTCGAGCTCGTTTCTCTTCATGGCGCCTGCGAGGCCGGCCGGGAATGTTTACAAGCAGATGTGTTCGAATTATCCAATATTCGGATGCAGCGATATGTGCGAATAGCCCAGGCGGGGCACTACATTCGACTACACGTAAGAGTGACCCTTCGCCGGAGTGACCTTTGGGGCCAGCCCAAAGGGTGTCGGGTAATTTTTCTTGTGATGAGCTTGACCTCGTGTCGGCACCCGCATCGCGCGATTACGCTCGCATCTGAGCGCGCCACGTTTGGGCCCACCCCTTGCAATCGACAGCAGCAACGCATACGCGTCGCACCCTACAGCTTGCATGTTGCCCGAGGGGGAGCCGGTCGACCAGACGGCGCTTTTTCCAGCCCAGGACCAGTCCCGAATCCCAGCTCAGATCCCAGAAGGTCTGGCTTGATGTTTTGTGATATCCTTGGATATCTTTGAATATCTCCGAATACCTTTGAATATGTTTAAATATGTTTTTCGAACCAATGAAGATCTGTATTGTTATAAGTTGCCCAAAGATATTCAAACATATTCCAGGCTCTCGGATGAGGCCGGTTTTGGCCATGACGCCGGGCCTGGTCAGACTTCATCGCGATGCAGCTTGGCAGTGGCCCCCGGCTGCGTCTGCTTTCGCAGAGCCCTCGGAATGCCATTCGGGGCGCTCGAATTCAATCGGACAAATTCCGCGCTTGCCCGCTGGCTCGAAAAAATTGTCGATTGGCGCCCCGCCGATCGTCGATGCGGCGAGGCAACGCGGGCTTGCGCGATTGCGTTGGGCCCCCCACGGGCGCCCCTGAAACCGCGCACCAAAGGTCATTTTAGCTTAGGGTCACTCTTACGTGTAGCCGTCTACACTTATTCGCCAGGGGGCCTCACCGAAGACATACCTGTCGAAATTGCTCATGCGATTCTTGTAGCGGCAAGTGGGCACATAGTCTTCCTGCCGATTCTGAACAGTGGGATAATCACATTTCAAAAAGCTAGAAAATGGAAGCGGGAGAAGACAGAAGAGGAGGCGAATAATAGGAAATAACAAACCGCGGATAACGAACCTATGGCCAAACTTAACAACAACATCAGTTGTGGTTCACGGCCTCCGCGGCCGATCGTGCCATGGTTTTTTCAAGCAAACCGTGCCACCGACCCGTGCGTGCCAGTCGAGATAGATTGCGCCCGACGGGAAGAATTCCGTTAACGTCGGAACGTATCGACCTCGCACCCCGTGCGGTTGCACAAGCCGGATTCCAAGGTGATGTAGTAAGTATAATTCCGACGGTCGGACCCCAAATGGTAATTCCCCATATCCTAAGATGATATTTTTGTTTTTATTTGGACGGCGCCGACTCCAACCAGAACCAGAACCCCTCCTCTCCTCCCTCCTCCTCCTTCCTCTCTTCTTCCTCAAGCTCACTCATGAACAGAGCTACCCCTACTCATATTCATTTGTACTCACATCTAGTCATACTCAGACTTACTCATACTCAGACTTTCTCATGATCATATTCATGTATACTCAGACCAAATCATACTCAGACTTACTCGTGCTCAGGTTCGCTATCCTAAGATGGGGTTATTGTTATTACTTGGACGCCTCCTACTCCTCCTCCTCCTTCCTCTTCTCGTCCCCTCCTCTTCTCGTATCCTCCTACTCGGACTCACTCATACTCAGACTTACTCATACCCAGACGTACTCATACACAGACTTCCTCATTCACAGACTTACTCATACTCAGACTTACTCATACCATGTGACGCCCCTCACGGGGGCAGAAACCAATCGGACCAAGTGTATTTGCTGGGGCGTCACGCTGTCACCCTGCTCATCCTTTCCTCATCATGTTCGTCCTCCTCCTCATCCTTCTCCTCGTCCTCCTCCTCCTCCTCCTTTTCCTTGTCCTCCTCCTCCTCCTCCTCCTCCACGTCCTCCTCCTCCTCCGCCTCCCCCTCCCTACCTCGGGCGTGATGGACCATGGGACCTCATGGAGCCTCCTGGTAATCCCGGGGGCCTCCTGGGATAGCAACCTCTGGGGATTTCCTGCGGCCTCATGAAACCTCCTGGGCTCTCCTAGGGTATCCTCAGCCCTCCAGGGGCGTCCGCAGCGTTCTGGAACTTTCGGGTCGTTCAGGATACGCCCGGAGCGTGATGGGACCTCCTGGGGCCTTGTGGGACCTCGCGGGGCATCCTGGGACCTCCTGGAGCGTCCTGGAGCCTACTTAGGATTCCCACGGCCTCCGGGGACGTCCTGAAGCCTCCTGGAGCTTCCTGATGCCTCCTGAGACCTCCTGGGGCCTCTTGGCGGCTCTCTAAGAAGCCACGCGCGGGGCCTCAAAATTGGCGACAGTTTCAAGGATGGGAGCCTTCCCATTGAGAAAGAGGGCGCGGTGGACGTTGAAAAATGACGACAGTTACACACTTGAGGCCCAAAACCGTGCCTGGCAAACACCCCCGCCATTCCCGGTCCTGCATAGTACGGTGCGATTTGCCCCCTCCCCGCTGTCCCGCCGGTCCCCGGGAGGGCTAGTTTTTTTGTTTTCGTTGGTAAGAAACACTTCCCCCCCCCCTCTCGGCGGTGACGGAGGGCAGGCGGCGGGGGAGAGCGGGTTGGCAGGGTGGCTGGTTGGGCACGGAGAGCAGGCGGAGGGGATCGGTTGGTTGGCGGGATGACGGGGTGGGCGGCTGGGCTGGTTGGCTGACGGGTTGGCTAGGTGGCGGG